AGGAGATCTCAATGGTTGTTAGTGTGTTGGTATGCACTTGCTGAAGGTGTTTGGTTGATAGGCAGTTGCTATGGAGTTCTGATTGGTTGTTAAGTGTGTTGCTAGGTAGTTGCTGAAGGTGTTTGGTTGTTTTGGAGTTTCTAAGGAGTTCTGAACGGTTGTTAGTGTGTTGCTAGGCAGTTTCTAAGGAGTTCTGATTGGTTGTTAATGTGTTGCTATGCAGTTTCTAAGGATGATTTAGCAACTGCCTAGCAACACACTAAGAACCATTCAGAACTGTTTAGCAACAAAGACCACAAATAACGACGACCAAACTTTCCCAGCATGCACCTGTCCCTCCGCGTGCAGTGGGTATTGTGGACATCAGGGATCACCAATCGTGTCTCGTTAAAATGCAATTACACACAATGCAAAGTCCAAGCCACATCTTTGAGAAACTGAATCACATGTTGATTCTGAAACATCGTAAACAAAAAACTTCTCAAAGCCTCTCGTGCTTCCCAGACCTTCAAACGAGCCATGTTTGTTTGGGATTCTTTGCAGCGATGCCACGTCAAGATCGTAATGTTCTGCTGGCAAATACACGCTCACAAATATACATGTTTATTATGCTAAAACAACACAAATCTCTGGTCTGAATTAAAGCAGGGCACTTTTCAGGACCCAGTGTACTAGAAAACAAAACACAGCCTCTCTGTCACTGAGGGTGTGGTTCATTTGTCTGCTAAACCAGATTTAACAGATCAATCAATCAGTTAACCAGTGAAACCAGCATCATACAGACCAAGGCCGGAACCATGCCTTGAACATTTTTTTTTTTTTAAATGAAGCATAATTAAATAGAACGGTCTAATTTTACTTGGGAAGCAATCATTTTGAACTATTCGCAAATAATATTTTAAAACATGCACACATTCACTCTTATTTGTACACTGTAAAAAAAAATCCGTGACATTTACGGTAAAATACCGGCAGCTGTGGTTGCCAGAACTTCACCGTAAAAAAAATGGTAGCAACATTTTAGGTTTTTAAGACTTGACTTAAATTCACAATAAAATACCGTATTTCATTAACTGATGTAATGTTAATAAACCAACACATTGAAGTACTAATATCTGTTTTGAACCATTGTAATACAATTTACGGTTTTTCACTGTAAATTATACAATTACTTTTTCTTTTTCACTTCCAAAAAACTAACAGTATTTTACTGTAAAATTACGTTAAATGTAATTACATTTATTCACCGAATATATTATGGAAACTTACTGTTAACCAATTAACAGGTTTTTACTGTAGCATTTTTACAGTCTTTTACTGTTAAAATCACAATCATTTTTTACAGTGTAGGCCTAATTTGAACTGAACACGCAAAACGTTTAGTGTCTCATCTCAATCAGTTAGGAACTACAATTCAAATTGGCCATATTTGAGAAAAAAAAAAAAAGTCTAGTAGTTTGTATCACTGGATATTACAGTTGTTAGTTTAACATTTCCTATCGTAAAACAGTTGTCAAATATTAAATGTTTGGCTGCTTACCTCTCTCTCTTTCAACGCTAAAACTAACGCTTCGCGCTGGAATTCCCGCTCAAACTCCGTGAACGGTAAACTCCGCCTACTTTGATTTTATTGGCCAACATTTTGAGATTGACGAGCTCTCCGAACCAAAGCCACTAGAAGCCAAAAACTTCTACTGAACACTGTTATGAGGACAGTCCTTCATCTCCACCTCTAGATTCTGGTTCCCTTGAAGCGTTTGAAAAAAGCGTAACGGCTAATGCTAACGCTTCCGGTTTGCCAGTACGAAGGAGACCAGAGGCCGTTTTTTAAATGGATGTCAATGGAGGAGATCCTTCACTACGCTGAATAAACAGCTTTTTAGAGGAAACGACATATCATTTAATGATTCGACAGCCTATCAGCTAATCTTCAACATGTTTTACACTAAACAATAGCTTTGGATTGTTTACACCGAAAACCATTTTATAAGAGAAGTCACTGACTTTTTGCGACAGGTGGGATTCAGCTTACATTACTTCTCATTCATTCCTATGATATCCATAAACGGCGATTGAGTGTCGCACAACTCCGACTGAAATTCAATGACGTCAAGGCTGTAATGTGATTGGTTATTAAGGCACACGTGATCCAAGTTGACCGTTACGCTTTCTCCAATAGTATAAGACCATCGCTGCGTCCCAATTCGCCTACTTATACTGTGCCCTAAAAGTATGTACTCTTTTTGTGAAGAAAAAGTACATACTTTTGAGTATGTAGCAGAATAGTAGGCAAACTTTGGGACATGCTACTTCGTCATAGCTGCTTCTTTAACGGATGCTCTGTTGCTTAGTTACGTGCATTCTGTTTTTTCATCAGGTTAGACATTGATTATTTATCACTCAAATCCGTTTATCTACCTGTCTGTTGGTCGCGCCATGTTTGTAGTTTTTTAACACTTTTAATGCATGTTTGTAGTTCTAATTGAATCCTCGTCCACCGCGCAATGTGTTGTGGGCAATTTTAGCGTGTGCATCGATCTCCACTTCGAATTTTAGCCGGAAGTAGTAGACCATCCGGGAATCTTTGGCATACTTTTTAAAACATACTATGATTTGGGACATACTAATTCTATTTTCGAATACTATTTAGGACGGATAGTATGCGAATTGGGACGCAGCAAATCTCTGCTCAGAACACTGAGGAAGAGTAACTTTTAAACCTTTTTGTAATCCTAACAATTTGGCCATTTTTAATTATTGGGGGAGACTTCTCGCAGTCATTGTCTATGGTGGTTATGGCCCTGGTAAGCCTATTTAACGGCGGTTTCCTCTCTCGCTGGCTCGGGAAAAACACTCACAGTAACACAAGGTCAGAATGCACTTATCGCAGCAGCACTGTTGTGCTGTACTTCCTGTTTGCGGTGATCGTTTCAGCGTAAAACAGCTTAATCTCACCCGTGAAGGGCAGAACACGCAGTGTTTTAAAAATACACATCCGGTGAAAAACACACATTGTGCTGGAGTCTAGAGATAGAGAACACTTGAACTCTACCAACTCGTGTACACTAAACACATTACAGTCATCATGAAGACAAACTAAATGTTCCAGGTCTTATTTTGAAGGGGAATTATTCTGTAAGGGGAAAAAAAAAAAAAAAAATCATCATGCTCCACCTCAGGGGCCGATTTAGTGATTTGGGGGCCCCAGGCAAAATATAGGAATCGGGTCCTATATGTCCTATATATTTGCACACATTTACCTAGATCAGCCTTGAGGTTCCTTTTTTGTTGTGATGCTTGCTGCAGCAACCATAGTTGTGTCCAATGTTTCTACATTTTTCATGTACATGTTATAATGGCTTTCTTTCATGCCGTAGACCACGAAATAGCAATTGATTTACAGTTTTCACAAAAACAAAATAAATTATAAAATGATAAACCTCACAATTGAGCCTTTAAACCATTTTTTTAAGAAAAGAGATGAGTCAGAAGTATAAATTATGATATTAATTTAAAACGGGGTTATGTGGGTGGATTTTCGCATTGGTCTGAACAAAAACTGCAGACGGGATTATTGAAAATGCACATTCATTCTCTGCCAGCAGGAGGCGCTTTTGGAACATCAGAAATACAGCGGTTTCCCCGGTAACGGCTGTAAACAAGGCAGCGCTGCTCATAAATGCTACTTTATCAGATAAAATGAAAATTCCACCAAAACTTTTCTGAAGACAGTCGGTTCCCTTCAGAGATTCATTCATTCATGTAAAAACTTGAATTAGTGAGAATGAGAAAAATATAGCCTATATTGAGGAGGAAAGTCCACTGAAGTGTTACCAGCGTAAGCCTAAAACAATAAACATATAATATGCAGTTGTGCAATACTTAATTACAGCTTCAGATACATGATATTTTCATTTGCTACAAGCAGGATACACAAGAAGTGTGTTCAACTCGGACACGCAGACGGTTGCCGTGGTGATAAACACCGTAAACAGCAACCGTTCGCGTGTCTGTGCTTAATGCGCATCTCGTATATGAAAAGCATTTTAGGGGGCCCTTGGCTTTTGGGGGCCCAAGGCGGTCGCCTACCTTTGCCTAATGGGTAAGTCCGCCTCTGCTCCACCTCTGAAACGACTTCATCAGTCCCTCTTATTTTTCAGCCATTTCTGTATAAAGACGCTTTTGAGTAAGACGATCAATTTATCTTGGTCTGCATGTGTTGTTATTGTTAACTAAAACTAAAGCTATTAAAATCAGTTTGTTAATTGAAATGAAGCTTGAACATAAATAAATAACTAAATACATATTAGATGAAAACCTAAACTTACAAAAACGTCAACAATCTTTCATACGTACGGATGAATTAACAGTGACGTCGGTGCTTCCTGATAGAAAAAAGGTAAACAACAGTTAGTGCATTATTATTTCACATAATATTTTTAACATAAGTGTATATAATATGCAACAGGTTAGTATAATTACGTGCATACTGTATGCAATAAGCAAGTATTTAATCTCAGCCAGATTCTCTGCAGGTATAAACACTAAAAAAACGAGAACAACGATGTAACATGCACACATCTGAAGGAATTTAAATCCAAAAAATGAAAATTAGCTGACAATCTACTAGCATTGCATCAGTGTCTCAGCAATGGATGCTCTGCAGTGAATGGGTGCCGTCAGAATGAGAGTCCAAACAGCTGATAAAAACATCACAATAATCCACAAGTAATCCAATGGAGCATAATCCACAATAACTGAAAAAGTGCATCTCCTGTTGTCTCTCACATCACAATCCAGCCACATATTTGTTTAGAGCTGTTAGGCGTTATTATGGATTATGGACATAACTGATGGACTGGAGTGCTGTGGATTATTGTGATGTTTTTATCAGCTGTTTGGACTCTCATTCTGACGGCACCCATTCACTGCAGAGCATCCATTGCTGAGACACTGATGCAGTGCTACATTTCTCCATGCAGCAATTCATTTGTCTGCACAAAAAAATCAGAAAAGAGACTCCGAACTGGCATCACTCACAAAGAGATCCAGAAGTTTATTAAAAAGAACCGTGGCATAAAAATACAGAAATGTCTGTCGCAAGTCAGAAAATAAATGTGAAACGAAAAACACTGCGTATGTCAGTTTATCAAAGTAAAGTTTTCTGATGCAATTTGAAGGCACGTTACATCATACATTATACATGACCGTGATTTGATAACAGAAATCAAATATCATGTTTGCAACTGAGGCGAATAACAGCGTGAGCTCTATGAGGAATGTTTCTGCTTTTTTATGAACACCGTGGCGTGTCGTGTCTGATATCACTTATCAGCGCTCAAAACATATCAGTCGCCAAAACAGTCCATCGCCTCGGCAACGATTATTGCTATTGTCTTTATCTGAAGCCTTATCTGCTATCGTCTGATTATCAGTCTGCTGGATAACATTAGGTCATTCAGCTGCTATGCTTTCACATATTAGCCTGATTTTCACTTCCACTGGAATAAATATCAGCGTTTTCTTCATGCATGTTCAATTTGACTTGAATCTGAACGTTGGCATTATGAACTGCGATGCAGGAGTCATGCTGGGTGTCAGACTTTCCGTCTTCGTCATGCATTGCACCATTATCACAATTTTTGTCTTGAACACCATGATCTTCTGGAAGTCCAGCATTGGAATGAATGTTTTTCTCCAACTTGTCGTCTGCACATAGCCTTCTAGCATCACCAGTGACGGTCTCAGTGCTGTCAGCTTCTTCAGGACCTTGAGAAACCATCATTATTTCTTCAGTTTTGCTGGTGATGTTCACTGAAACCACTTTGTTTTGGTTCCAGTCATCTTCCCGAGCGTCCTGAACACTGTTATGAGTACAGTCCTTCATCTCCACCTCTTCTTCATCACGGTCATCATTTCCATCAGGATGCATTGCAGGTCGTTTATTTTCAGCGTCACCATCATCATCTTCAGTGTTTCCATCCTCTTCTTCACTTCGAATCTCTCCGTCCTCCAGCTCATCGTCCTCTGAGACTTTTGGCTTCTTCGGCACATGCACAAGAGCTTCTGAGCGTGGTTCAGCCAGAGAACATGAAGTTCTGGTGACGCTCGCTGATGCAACACCTTGGACCACATTGGAACGCTCTAGAAGCAGAGGAAAATGCATGTTGTAAATAATATAAAAAAGGTTAAAATAAATATCTAAAATAATTTGATTAAATATGAAAATAAATAATAAATTATTACATTTTATTAAAATAAATTGATTTAAATAAATACATTAATATATTTTTTATTTTAATCGATATTAAATGCACCACTAAAACAACATCATATGATTAAAACTAATCATACAAATTAGATTAAAATGAATATATAAATAATGCATCTAACAGACAGTGGAAAAGTTTAGAGGAAAGCAGTATAAAAATGTTTTTTTTTAAAAAGTGTAAAATATTAAAATAAATAAAGAATAAAAATAAGATGAAATAAATTCGATTAAAATAAAGAATTGGTTTAAACAAATACATAAATAAGAAATTCCAATAAGTAAATTTGATTAAAATAAATTAAAAAAGGGGATAACAAGGGGATGCTAGGAGGTCTGTGGAAAAGTTTACAGAAAATCAGTTAAAAAATTAAAAAAATAAAGTATTAAAGTAAGATTTAACTAAATTTGTTTAAACAATATTTAAATAAATATATAAATACATTTTGATTTAAATAAACAAAAAACACAAAACAAAAACATTTGATTAAAATAAATAAATACATCTAACAAGGGATTGCTTGGAAAAGTAAAAAAAATAATAACAACAAAATAAAATAAATATTTCAAATTTAAAATGAAATAAATAAATAACTAAACAAATAATACATCTAACAAGGAAGGCAGTGATGGGGTTCCATGGAAAAGTTTAGAGAAAAGCGTTGGAATAAAAAAAAGTGTAAAAATAAACTAACTAATGTGGTCTTTATACATCTACAAATCTACAAATATCATACTGCTGACTGAGACAATGGATGTCAGATCATATGTGACCCTGGACCACAAAACCAGTCTTAAGTGTCAATTTTCTTCTGGAAAGTTGAATAAATAAGCTTTCCATTGATGTATGGTTTGTTAGGATCGGACAATATTTGAAAATCTGGAATCTGAGGGTGCAAAAAAATCTAAATATTGAGAAAATCATCTTTAAAGTTGTTCAAATGAAGTTCTTAGCAATGCATATTACTAATCAAAAATTAAGTTTTGATATATTTACAGTAGGAAATTTACAAAATATCTTCATGGAACATGATCTTTACTTAATATCCTAATGATTTTTGGCATAAAAGAAAAATGTATAATTTTGACCCATACAATGTATTGTTGGCTATTGCTACAAATATACCCCAGCGACCCCAAGACTGCTTTTGTGCTCCAGGGTCACATTTCGTGATGAAACAGCTGTGATAATTTGCAGCTCTAGTGCAAGAGAGACAACAGCTGATGGTTGGACCTGCTGCCAATGTGTTGCATAACTGAATTAGCATGTAATAAAAGGTTAGGACTGCTAACAGAAGCATGTGCTCGTTTGGTCGGTCTGGCCTGTTTAGTGAAGAGAGAGTCGGTATGAGAATGAATGAGGTTCATCTCTCTGTTAAAACACCTCAGAGAGCTCAGAAAAACTGACAAGAACAGGTTTCATCCCATCTAAACAAAGAAATAAGATGGTTTTGCAAACAGAAAATGAACACTGCTTTTTGAACCGGTTTTTAAAAAAAAGTTTTTTTTGCATTATGACAACTAAACACTCATGATATTTATATTATATAAAATTCTAGAATATTATTAAATGGCAAAAGTGTCAGTAAAGTAAAAAAAAAAAAAAAGTAAAATAGGAATAAATTATAATATAATTTCTAATGAATTAAATATTATTTTTAATAAATCTAACATTGACTGAGTAAATAAGTAAATACATAAATAAATAAATACATACATGCATGTTAACAATTACTATCAATTTCGGGTCAAGTATTTAAATTAAAAAAAGTAAAAAAAAAAAATTAATAAAAAAAAAAAGAGAGAATAATTATTCCTCAATTATTCGAAAAACCCACACATGTTCATTGTGCAAAATATTGTAATTAATAACAATTTATAATTAATAATGTATCATTTTAATACATCTAACATTAAATATAAAAAAATAAACATAAATAAATGAAATTGAGGAATTACTACACTTTTCAGTAAAGTATTTAACTAACTTTAAGTAAAATAAGAATGGGGTGAATTTGCTTAATTTTCATGAAAATTATTGTCAGATTATTATCAGTTAATATCAAAATTATTTTAAAACCTAAGTTAATCATGCATAATATTATAATTGGCAATATATTATTTTTAATACGTCTATCCTCTTTTTTATTTTTAATACATCTAACATTGAATAAATTGATACATGCAATTCAGCGATTGCTACAATTTTTCAATAAAGTATTTTAATAAATAAAAATTAAAACAAAAATTGTCAAATTATTCCTCAAAAATCTAAAAATGTTATGCAAAATATTATAAATAATAATATAATTGATCATTAATAACATCTAACAATGAATGAATGAATGAAAATATTGTCTTTTTTCCTCCCGTAGCTTGTGTGATGAAATGTGAGGTTCAGCCGTGTGCATGTGTTCAGTGTGAGTGTGTGTTTAGAGCCGTCTGATTCTGTGTGTGTTTAGTACCCGGTCTGCGAGTGAGGTACTGCTGACTGTGCTGTTGCAGAACCACAAAGACTTCTGGGTATTCCACGATGGTCTTCTGCATCAGGTTTTCCTGCAGAGTTGTCTTCAGGTCCAGCTCCAGATACCTGCCAAAAACAACACTAACAAACTTACATTTGGCCATCTTGATATTCTGATGATATTCAATACATAATGCATTTACTTTTACATAAACTACCAGTCAAAGGTTTGAAATAATACTTTTAAATGTACATTCATAGAGAATAATTTTCTTCTGCTCACCAAGGCTGCATTTATTTGCCGATAAAATCTATAATATTGTGAAATATTATTCTAATTTCAAACAGCTGTTTTCTATGTGAATATCTGTTAAACTGTAATTTATTTCTGTGATGCGCAGCTGTATTGTCAGCATCATTACTCCAGTCTTCAGTGTCACATGATCTTCAGAAATCATTCTAATATGCTGATTTGCTGCTCAAGAAACATTTCTGATTATTATCAATGTTGAAAACAGTTGTGCGGCCCAATATTTCTGTGGAAACCGTGATTCATTTTATTTTTCAGGATTCAGCATTTATTTGAAATAGAAATCTTTTCTAACAATAATAAGTCTTTACTATCACTTTTTATCAATTGAATGCATCCTTGCTGAATAAAAGAATTACTTTCTTTTCTTTCACAGGAATAGATTGCATTTAAAAATAGAAAACGGTATATTCGTCACTAAATAAACATGTGCACATTTGCACCAGCATTAAAGCATTTGAATATATGAACGATGGCACTGAATCAAAGTTCTGAATCAGGAACTGATTTATTCAAACTGATTCATTGTGATTATGAATATTCAACACTAGGGCTGGGTAAAAAATATCAACATCTCGATATTAATCGATTCTCATTTTTACGGAACGATATCGATTCCTAAATCCCAAGAATCGATTAGTCTAGCCTGTTTTCAGTTAATGGACGAAACATTTAAGGGCACTTCCCATCCAATATATCGCAATAAGCATTGTGCTTTGATACTTTCAATATGAAACAAAGTCTCAGATTTCAAATTCTGTCCATTGTATTACAGTATTCAAACAATTAATGCCGTTTTGGCTTAATCTGGAGTGACAGATCGCTGTAGCGCAGCGCCTCAGTTCAACAGACGTGCGTTATTTTAAAAATTCATATCATAACAAAAATAAACACCGGTATTCGGTATGAACCGGTATACCGCCCAGCACTAGTCAAAACCCAGCCCTATTCATCACTATGGTCCATCTCGGGCCGTGTTGATGTTCTCCGGATAAAGAACGTTCCCATGACATCATGGCTGGAGGTGCGAGAGGAAGCGCTCATGTTCTGGCTTCATAAAAACCAGTTTGAGGTTAAATCAGGCTCACAGCTGGAGACTCGTTCAGTAAGAGCCTCTGTGCCTTCAGCTTTCTCTCACATGACATCAGTGAACCCGAGGCCTGCCGAGAGCCTCGTAAACCAGGGATTTCACAGCATTCGATCCATCCCAAACACGAGAGCCGGGCATTTCCAAACACTGCTGGTTCTAGAAGCTCGTTCTGTTCTCCAGGCCAAAACTAAGAGCCAAACCGACGCAAAGGAAAACAAGCCGGAGCGAGCCAAACCTCACGGGACGAGCGAGGCTTCGGCAAATCCACACCAAACAACAAACAAACGCCCCATTTCTGTGCTGGCAAACCTCAGATGAAGCTTAAAGTTAAAGCTTAAAGGACTGAGATTTATGGACTACATAACACGCATACTGCTGGACAACAGGGCTGTTGAAAAAAATAAAAAATCCACATTTTAGGTCTGCGTCAGCCGTCAGGCAGCCTTATCAGTGGTGCATGAAATGCGACGACGATGTAAGTGTCACTGCATTTGAATGCTTTTGTTAGCCTATCCAGTTGAAGCCACTAGATGCGGCGCTGCTACATTGTTCATTCAATATATTGTGGAAAACGAGAGCATCAGTGTGGAGATGATGTTGTTTACGTCAGAACTGAAACCAAGCCGTTCACACAGAACGCATATTTATCGCATTTTCTATCTATCACGCTTGATGCGCCCTCTTGTGGCCTCAGGAGAGAAGCCAAAAGCTTTTTTTCCCCCTAACTGAAATTATGCCTTTTAAATTCGAATATAATTCAAATTTTGATAATATTTCAATGGAAAATTTGAATTTAGTTTTTCAGTCATTTTGACAGCCCTACTGGACAATGAAACTCAATCACGACTATGCAGAAAACAACATCTTAACCCTAGAAAGCCTTCATTTCTAAGGCTAATAATCATTACTTTATTTGGGTAAAGTCTAAAAGTAAAATAAGAATGGTGGGTAAATATGCTTATTTGTCATGAAAACTATTCCTTAACTAATGTCCTTAAGCAAAATATTATAATTCATAATATAATTCATAATTAATAATATATTATTTAAGAAATCTAAAAATAAATAAATAAAAACTTACCAATTACTAAACGTTTTCAGTATCTAGTTTAAGGCAAAATTAGCACGGGGATAAATATGCTTAATTGTCATGAAAAAATGCATGCAAAATTGTATACATTTATAATATAATTTCTATATATTAATAAATCTAACATTAAACAAACAAATAAATAATAAATAAATGAAAAAACTTAGCAATTGCTACAATTTCTCAGTATTTAGCTTAAAATATGCATAGGGTAAAATGCTAAACTGTCATGTAAATTATTCCTCAAAATTATTTAAAGAAAAAAAAAGTTATTTATGCCAAATTGGAAAATATATTATAATATATTATTTTAATAAATCTGACCTTAAACAAATAAACAATGAAGTAGAATATAATAATGAAGTAGAAAAAAGGAAAATAAAAATATTAAACATGCTTAATTGTCATGAAAATTATTTCTCAAAATTATGAAAAATTTAAAATAAAAATGTTCTTTACACAAAATATTATAATTAATAATATATTTTAATATATCTAACATTGAATGAATATTTATTATAAATTGAATTACATTACAAACATCAGAATTTCATATAAATATCAACATCTGCACCAAATTGCATATTTTTGCTCAGTTTGAGTCTCTGAATAAAATCAAGCTGTTTTTCCTCCATATTCTCACAATATCAGACTATATGAGCCATAAAACCTGACGGATCAAATATGATACTCAACAAAAAAAGCACTGTTTTAATTTTTTAGATTTTGTCTAAAGGTTCAATGAACTGTGTCATTTCCAAAAATGTGATTTTCTGACTATTTCTTCATATGTCAGGGTTAATGTGCATTTTGCTGTATGCAAAATTTAATAAAATCCATCTAAGCCTATAGTGCAAACTTTGAGAGTTTCTGTGCATTTCAAGCTTTTGCATTCAGAGATATTCCCAAGCACAAGTTCAAAATTATATGGAAACCTAGCAAGTGATCTTCTGCTCTTTTAACTATGGCTTTGTGGGATTCTTTCACTCATTTTATCGCCCATTTAAGCGCAAAACTAGAGACACTTGCATTTGCAAACACCATTAAACACCAAACAAAAGCATCGAGCTCCCGTCACTGAATGATGCTTTTCAGGCTGACAGTCTTACTGGGGTTTTGGCCGTCAATGTAGTTCAGTGTGTGTGTGTGAGTGTGTGTGTGTGAGTGTGTGTGTGTGTGAGTGAGTGAGTGA